ACAGCTGATCCGTGGCCGCGCAGCGCAGCGGTGGAGCCGCATGAGGCGGATGGGGGAGAGCTCTGCCAGCGACACAGCAGCGGCTCATCCAGCAGCAGTCCCGGTTTCTGGGCAGCGTGCCCGCTGCCAGCTTAGCGCTGGGTACCCGCATGCCTGTGCCGACAGAACTTCTGTCACTCCGGGTCTGCTGGGTGGTTTCACACGCTTGAGCGACAAGAGTAAGTGCTAGTGTAGACATGGCCTAACCGAGGTCAAGACAGCTGCCACGTGAGCTAAGCCGGACATAGGAGCATAAATGGGGAGAGGACCCTGATTCATCCCCCTTCCTCTTTTCCTCTCTGCTGCAGGTGGAGATGTCGGCTGAGGCCACGACAGCCCCGCTCCTGGCCCCTGAGGCCTGCGCTCCTGTGGTGCCCACGCACCACCAGCCCACAGGGGGAGCAGAGGGGGTGACCTTCGACCTAAAACCTCTGAACCCCAGCAGCAAGTATGTCAAGTTGAACGTGGGCGGGTCCCTTCACTACACCACGGTGCAGACTCTCACCAAGCAGGACACTATGCTCAAGGCCATGTTCAGCGGTAGAATGGAGGTGCTCACTGACAGCGAAGGTACCTGCTCCACTTCCCACAGCGCTCCCTGCCGGGGGATGCCAGGGCTGGAGTAGCTGAGTGCTCTCCCCTGCCTCCCTACCTTGCCCTCTGCTGGGCAAGGCTGTGACTGGAGTAACCAGGAGCCCTCCCACAGGCGGTGCCCTGCTACCGTCCCACAGCGCCCCCTGCTGGGAGAGGCCATGGTTGGAGTAGTCGGGAGCATCCTCCCCAGCCAGTGCCCCATCCTGCACAGCACCCCCTGCTGAGAGATGTCCTACATCCTTTTGTCTGTTTGTCTCCTCAGGTTGGATCCTTATCGACCGCAGCGGGCGTCACTTTGGCACTATCCTCAACTACCTGCGGGACGGCACGGTCTCCCTGCCCGAGTCGCAGCGGGAGCTGGAGGAGGTGCTGTGTGAGGCACGGTACTACCTCATCCAGGGGCTGGTGGAGGATTGCCAGCTCGCCCTGCAGGTAGGGACCCCCCGCCTGCTCTTGGACTGAAATGGGGTTATCTGGTAGGGATGTAATAGAGTTTAGTTGATTAACCAATAAGCAAAAGCTTGTTGGTTAATGCTACAGACTACACGCATTCTCCCCTCCCCCACCAGTACCGTTTTTAACAGGGTGGCCAGCAGCCCGGCTCTTCCGCCAGTTCCGAGACCTGTCCCTGCTGTGGCTCTGCATTAAAGTGTATTAGGAGCCAGGCGGGCAGGCAGCCCAGCTCAGTTCTGGCTTGCACCAGATCCAGGGGCTCAGCCACCCCCCCCCCCGACGGGGGCTGCTGCCACCCCACATGCTGCTGTATCAGAGGCAGCAGCGTGGGGCAACAGGCAGCCCATCCGCGAGGGGGGCTGGTTTTCAAACTGGCTCCCCTTGCAGACCAGCTCCTGCCTGGCACCCCCCACTGCCGCTCCTGATACAGAGACACCCTGCAGTGCTGCCTCAGGACTGGTGCTGGAGCGCACTGGCTGCCAGCCTCACCCCCAGGGATTATCAAATAGTCGAGTAACCGATAAGAATTCATGAGGTTACTCAGCTACTCAATTAACCAATATTTAACATCCCTAATAACCGGGGGTGGGGCATAGAGGGCTCTGGGATTCTCCTGCTGTGTCTGCAGGGCTACCTGGGAACAGGGCACTAAGGGGGTTGTGGGTTCCAGGAGTCTGCAGTAACCTGCTGATCTTTGCTCTTCCTAGCAAAAGAGTGATGTTTGTGACCCCCTGTGTCTCATCCCCATGGTGACATCCCCCAAGGAGGAGCAGCAACTCATCTCCAGCTGCTCCAAGGTGAGATGGGCGGGTGGGGACCCCCTCACAGGCCTGTCCAGAGTCCCAGCCCCCAGAGCCATCACCTGCACTTATACCCCCTTCTCTGCCTCCTCCCTCCCCTTTGCTGCTAAGTTATGTTGAGTGGCTCCTACGAATCCAGCCTCATCTCCTGTCTCTCACGGCTTTTTTCCAGCCAGTGGTGAAATTGTTGCATAACAGAAGTAACAACAAGTATTCGTATACCAGGTAATCCAGTGCTCCTGCCCTGCTGCCCACAGCGCTGCCTGCTGGGAGAGGCTGGGACTGGAGTAGCTGGGAGCCCCGCCTCCCACCATTCCTCTTCCTCCTCCTTACTGGAGTACCTGGGATATTCCTCCCTGTGGTTCTTCCCCC